CGAGTTACTCTTTAATGCGAAATTACAGTGTCTTGGTAGAATATGAAAACCATACATTAAATACTTTATTTACACATATTCAATCAATTGTCCCCTACAAACTTCATCGTTTGTTTGTCGACAAATGTAGCATACACCACCTATCTATTACTTGAAACACATTTTGATAATAAGCTGGAAAGTAAACAATGTGATAGTATAAATATTCAAAAATATTTGGATATGGTCACAAAGTTATTTTTCAGTAAAGGTATTCCGTCAATTCATTAAAAAAACATAAGCAAAGCGAAAGCTGTGTGAAGTTGTTTATAAAGACGTTTACATTTTTAGAATGGATCTAGATGTAAATTGATATACACTCAAAAGGCGAAGTATCTGTGTCAAATATACTTTGGATTCATTGTTGAAAACCTTATCATAGAATTCGAAAAGTTTATGAACGGGGTAAAATCCTCGTATAAAGTCATCTTCTATTACTGTTTAGATTTAAATTCTTAAATTAGTATATTTAAACTCAATAACTTACAAGTTACATATTTTCACTAAATTCCACTTTTAGAATAAGCCAAGTTTGATGAGGTTGAATTATTCCATATACTTTACTAATAGTGTAGGGAACAAGAATTCAGATGGATAAAACCAATTTATCGTTTGAAGCGAAATTACACAATGTTTTCTTAAAATGTGAAAATTATACACTAATCACATTATTTGTACATCTTTCTTCAGGTGTTCTTTACATACTTCTTTACTCCACCAATTCAGTTGTTATTCCCACTCCTCTCTGTTTCCTTTACATCTCTCTTCAATTCAATCCTCTGCTTGCAGACATTTCACTTCGACTAGCTGTTGCATACTACTAATATCTGCTAGCATAAGTACAATACATTACGCTAGAAGTTGTAAAATCGACAACACGAAACTCAAGGATGGAATCATCTATCAGTGAATTACGATTTTTTACTTAGAAGGATACATTTAAATAACGAGACATTTTTTAATGAAATAAGCTATTTCAGTAATTCTGGTATTATTAATGTTTTTCGATTATTTTCTGGCCAATTATCATTGCAAAAGAAAGAACATCTGCAGTCTATTCAGTTGAAAAAGTAATAAATTTTCCATATTTATAAACAACTATTATCAAGTTCATTTGTCGAGACAATCGGAACAGTGATTTTCAAATAAATGTTAAACGATAAATGTATTCACTGCAAAAGTACCTTACTTACGCCTGTTAACCCTCACGAAGGAGCATAAGCCGCCCATCAGTACTCTCTATCAAATTTTGTCCTGAACAATCCTTTGTGGTTCTTTCCAGTTGCGATTCATTCTTTTCATGTATGCTCCCAATTCTCGACGCAGTGTGTTCTTTAGTATTCCCCTTTTCCGCTTCCCTTCACGATTCCAAGTTGTGCCTTGCTTCGTGATTCCGTTTGATGTGTGCTTAGGTTCTATCTAAACTTTTTCCTACATTTTTTATCACTTGTTTATTGAGTACGAATGTTTCTTCATTTCTAAAGAGAAAAGAGATCATATTTTTCTATTTACTACTATTTCCTTGTGACATAACATTATTTCATCAACGATTATTGATTTATTTCAAGTATTTTGTCTTTTTGATAATTTGGCATAATGTAAATGTAATATCGGTCAAAGATTAACAACAACCAACTAAAGGAATTGTTAATCAATATGTTCTGTAAAATTGGTTACAGCATTTTCATGTCATTGTTTACGTTATTTTTTTCATTAAACTAATGCCTTTGTATATTACCTATTGAATATCAGTTAAGTTGCATACAATGTCTGGTTACTTCAAGTATATCAACTGAACTTTCCTTTACATAAATTAAATAATTGAATCACCCATCAAGATGAAGATTAAAATCATCATAACTTTTCTGATAGATATTTTGATAATTATGACACATTAATGTTTGACTAATCGATAATTAAATATTTTTAACATTATAGATGAATGCATGTAAAAAGAATTGATTAACTAGTTTCATTTGCTTTATCTAACCAAATACCAAAAAATGTACTAGTTGAATTTCGGCATATTCAACGATTCATCATGCAATACTACTATATATAAAGATGTGACAAGTATTTGGAGTTTGACAACACCTTAACCGGTAACAACTTCTATAATCTCAACGTGCCAACACAGGGAAATCAGGCGCAAAGAGGTTCAATGGTATATTTGATAGGCTATCTATATATCGAGATGTGATTGATCTAAGCTAGCTAGTGGTTGTAGGAGAAGTTATGCACAACATACACACACGTGATCTAGTGAGGATACATGACCGAGAACCATCAGCTAGGTGAGTCCCTTAAAATCAATGTGGTCAGCATCATATGTTGAAGACTTACAGAGCTATTGGTTTTGGGGATTGATTTACCGCTATATATATATATATATATATATATATATATATATATATATATATATATATATATATATATATATATATATATATATAAACGTTTGAATTTTGTCGTTTAGTTTTTCCATTTTATCCATAGAAAATGCCATTACTGTCACTTCGAATCGTGTGGTATTTACATGGTAACATTCAATTAATCACTGTTTTATCATGACTCTTACAAAAAACATTCCCATCATTGCTAAAACTTTATATATATATATATATATATATATATATATATATATATATATATATAATTGCACATTTATCCTGTGTACTGCCACTACCAAGTTACATTTATGCAATACAAGTTGTCATGATAACATAATAAGTATTTTTCATTTAAAAACAGAACTGTTGGTTTCATATTGGTCCTGATTGGTTAACTACTAATTTGATTTTTATTTTATTGTCAAATGGTGATATTTTTTTGTGGAATTTCTATAGATCATATGACAGAAATTGTTATATGATACAGCAATCTATTTTGAATTCATCGACTATGAATTTAAAAGATACCTTAAACGTAATCATTTTTGGGATCAGTAATTTCGTTTAATAACTGTAGAACTTGAGTTAAATCATTTGAAAAATAAAAGTGTTTTACCAATATTCGTCAATATTAGAACGAATAGTTTGACAAAAAAATTAGGCACGAAGTATAGAAAAGTCATTATATGTAAAAATTATAGTTGAAATAATCTCAGCGACTAAAATTTAAAACAACTCCAACATTTCGTCTAATAAATTTGTCTGAACTTCTTCAGATGTTTTATTTTTGATTATTACCTTGAGGTAGTCCGGACAAATTTATTGGACAAAAACGTTGGAACTATGTTAAATATTTCAAATATAATTTTCATACATAAAGTGTTTTACCGTTTAGAATGTAACTATCAATGTTACAATGTGTATCTTTTTTTATAAAAATATTTTTAGTTATAAAATTATTGAGATTTACATTGTCGCTTTATTTTATGAAAACGTCTTCGACACTACGGAGTTCCTGAGAAGATTGTCAGTATAATCCGGAACTCATACGACGGAGTACAGTGCGAAGTCATGCATGGAGGAGAGCTGACAGATGCATTCCAAGTAAGGACCGGAGTCAGACAAGGCTGCTTACTCTCACCCTTCCCCTTTCTCCTGGTGGTCGACTGGATTATGAAGACCTCGACATCTGAAGGGAAGCACGAAATAAAATAGACAACTTGGAATCAACTAGACGATTTGGAACTCACAGATGACCTAGCTCGTCTATCCCATATACAAAAACAAATTCAGATAAACACAGCCAGTGTAGCAGCAGTCTCTGAATCAGTAGGCCTCAACACATACAAGGTAAAAGCAAGATCCTCAAATACAACACGGAGAACACCAACCCAATCATACTTGACGGAGAAACTCTGGAAGATGTGGAAATTTTCACGTATCTGCCTGGACACCATCGATAAACAACGACGAGGATCGGGTGTAGACGTAAAGGCGAGGATGAGCAAAGAAAGGACAGTATTCATATAGTTGAACAAAACATGAAACTCAAAACAGCTGTCTGTCAACCAATATCAAAGTCACAATCTTCAATACGAACGTCAAAACAGTCAGTTCTACTGTATGGTGCCGAAATTCGGAGAACTACCACAAGCTCCATCAACAAGGTAAAAGTATTTATAAATAATTGTCTACTCAAGATACTCAATTTCCGTCAACCGGATACCATGAGAAACAGCCTACTGTGGGAGAGAACAAACCATCTTCCGAATGAAGAGGAAATTAGGAAAAGACGCTGCAGGTGGATAGGATGTACATTACATAAATCATCAAATTGCATCACGAGGTAAGCCCTAACTTGTAATCTTGAAGGGAAGAGGAAAAGAGGAAGGTTAAAGAACACATTACGTCAGGAAATTGAATCAGAAATGAAAAGGATGAATAACAACTAGAAGGAGCTGGAAAGGATTGCCCAGGACAGGGTTGGATGGACAATGCTGGTGAGCGGCCCATGTAAGTAAGTAAGTTTAGATGCTACCAGTTTAATAATCGACATCTGAATAATGTTCATTCTTTTCAATGTACATTGCTAACCACTACGATGTCTCCGATTGTAAATTTTTGTAACTTTTACAACGAAAGATTTTAAACTTTTCACAAACCTACCTGAATAGGTTATTCAATCAATTGACATAATGATCTGTTACAACAACAAGGAAACATATAACTTGTTGAAATATCTAGATGGAAGGAACAGGTTGCCCAGATATTCAAGCAGGTCATTTCAGATATATAAATCTTGTTTGACTTGGAACATGATGAGTTTGTAATGATATTTTAGTTTAACAAAATACATGTACCATTTCACATAAACTTCGCAACGGTCATACAAAATGATCTTCGTCTATGCAAAATTAAAATTACAGTGACTTTCAAAAACACTAAGAAGTTTAGAGTGTTTATTTCATAAAAGCCATTTCGAAAATACATTAGTTATGTGATAAATAATGTTTGAAATAAAACTACCATCAAATTTTATACAAATTAATTGTTCGAAAATAATACAACTGATTAAAAAAATGAATATTTATTGCCGTTTTCATCAATATAAATACGATATAACTTGGTGGAATGATTCACTTCATCATCTAAATAAGCCTTTCTATTCATTTGTAAATGTTTAGATTCAACAAAATAATAGCGTACAATCCGCCAATGATCATCATTAGTAAAATCATGGTGACACCATTCCACATACGAATTCCTTCTATGTGAACAATCGGAGACCGGTAATTCGCAAAGTAAGCTTTTTCGAGAATATCGATTTCTCATTGTTGAGATATCAGTTGTTGGAGTTTTGTCATAGTCTTCTAGCGATAAAGTAGCCAAATTAAGTGATATGTTTGGTATGTCGTACTGGCAGAGTTCACTGCATTTAACTGAATTCGATGAGTGGAGCGGAGTTGAATACATAGGAAAGGTGTTGTTTGGAATTTTGAATTCAGGTGTTCGGTCGTACACTATTTGGGTTTGGTTTAATGACGTTTTATTCATCACCTGTCTGAACAGAATGTAGGGATTATAATTTTATTTAGTTGGACAGTAAGTCGTTGGTAAAATCAAAACCCGTAAGATTTTTTAAAGTTCTATTAAGTGTGATTTACACTAGGAAAGAAGTCATACATAGAGGGCAGTTATCCTTATTCATTTCACCAAACATGTCTGATCTTAATACGGTTTACAGAGTTTCATCAGATGAATTAAATTATTATTATTCGAAAAATGGACCATAGCTTGCCTTTTGATATCGAATTTATCCGTTCATAAACAAATTTCTCGGAGTGAATCATTTCTTTCTACTGAGCACACAAGTGAACCCCTTTATTCAAATGTATATATTACAATCATAATTACTTTTGAATTCTTCCTGACAGATAACTGATCATCGCTTGTTCTAAAACAGTTTCATACATAATGGTTTCTTATATATGCAAAGGTTGCTAATTCTCAAATTGTCTAAAGTGTCTCAATATTTTCACATATGCACATGAACATATTACTGTATAAAAGAGTGAAGCTTGATGATGATCTAATAGAAAAAATATGGTTCAACAATACATTATTTCTAAAATAGATTCAATATGCTCTGAATTTATTTGGCCTGAAGCACATGATGCATCACAGTTCCTGAGATCAGTCTTGATATAGAAGATTATATTGCAGTTCTTTTGTTCAGCAACAACGAACAACTCACCAGACATACACAAATATGGTGTCCAGATGCGAGAATGCTCACAAACCTGTGTCTAATAACATGTAACCTGTTTAACCGTCTGATTTACAGGCTGCACAAAGTAACTGTAACGTGATCTCCCATATCAAGACTAATTTCAGGAGCTACGATGCAAAAGCGCAAGATTATAGCCCCATCAGTAATCAAGGTAAAGATTCGAATACGTTATGCAAATGATGCTTTCGTTATCATGGAAACAAATCTGCTTGAAAGTACTCATAAGTTGGTCATCAAGATTTCCGATGACGTCAAATCCACAAGAGAAAAAAAATCTTATTTTTGAACGTTTTAGTCGACAGAATAAATACGGGATCTTCGGAAACACAAATATACAGGAAACCAGGTCACATGGATCAAATATTCAAAGACAGTTAACATTATTACAGGAACAAACGAATACAATAAAACTTAAGAAAACAGTCTGTCATACACTAAGTCATCAGAATGTACTGATATAACACTTATGGAATAACTGGAAGGCTCACTTCTACATAAAATAGGCACTGAAGATGTTGTCCAGACTGTCAATTAAAGCTGTACAAATAACTTACTATTTCCAAGTTATAAGTAATCCTTTATGGGTGCACAGAATATAAATAAGTACATATATACATTGTCTTACCAATCAAATCAAATAAATTTGGAATTCGTGGTTGGATGGAATACTTGAATGAATTTAACTCATATATTCTATTTACTTATGACCTAGAATACATTTGATTGCGTCATGTTGATATATATCAAGTTAGTCCATAAACATCAATTCGATATTATGAGCTGTATTCCTGTATTTCTTGTAACAAATTGAATACAATATATTACATCATTGCCTATCCTAAAACAGAAAATTATCCAATTAATTTATTAACTGAAAATTATATGCTTATTTACATTGAGCTAACCTCTTATTTATATCACATACACATATATATATACATACACAAGTGGTTGACTATGTAGGGTCAGTGAAATGTCACTGAGCCCTAGCCAAATCGTCCGGCAGTTGGGTCACTGATCGTCGATCCCTGTCAGGGTCACGGACAACCAACGCGCATCAGTTGATCGTATGCCAAGGACTGGCGCATGCAGTGGTGGTCTTGTTATCTTCTCTGTACTCATTCTTACTAATATATTTCTTTAATGACTTCCTCAATGTTATACGGTCTTCAAATCAGCTATAGTACTTTGATACGTCGAAGGGGTAATCCACGTTAGATGTTGACCACAAAGTGTGATTTCGAAGTTAGCCGGTTCGTCACATCATTCCCATCAAACTCGAGTAAGCTTCCAATCATTTGACATAGATTATATACCTTGCTGATCTACAACTAAATTTAAAGTGGTATCATTTTCAACTTAACCACCATTTATTTAAACACGAATTTCAGAGAAATGTTTGGATAACAGTGAATAATTCCTTCATATACATATTTGTTATATCCTAGTGAAGATTAAAATACGGGTAACTTCTGAGAATTATTAATGGACTAATATTAATCTTATTGTATAACTATTCAGTACCTAAATTGTGTATATCTATATATTATAAGCTTTATTCTGACCTATAGACTATTATTATACGATCTACTGTTGAGTTATGTTCAGTTTATTAATTACAGTCTCCCACGTTTACAGACACTTTTTGGCTTGATCTTGTACAAATTTTATTTCCTATTTTATAATGTGGTGTGGTCCATTTAGCTTGTATATAAATCAGATATGTTTGGAATAAATGATTCGTATAGTGAAAGCTGGTATTGGTGTTCTGGACTCAACTGGTAGAGTTAGGCAGGAAAAAGGACCAAGAAAGGACTCTAGGCTGCTCATACCGGTCGAAGGTCATTGGTTTGGCACAGTACTAAGATTGTATAAGTCGTATTTCGATTGGTGAATAAGTCACGTGGTAATTAACCGCTCTAAATATCACAACAATATTTTTAGAATTTTTTAACTTTTATGAATAGAAAATTAAAAATTGTTATTCATTACACTGTATAATCATAATTGATTTATTAACACTTTTATCTTGATAACAAAATAAACCGAAACTGTAATGTTGAATAGTTTAGGGTAAATTAGATGAAAAAGCTTGGACCAGATTGCCAGGTGGAACGTTGGATTGACTTCAAATTCTTTCGTTGAGATTTTACAAATAAATTCTTCCTCTTTAATGTCTCACACTAACTCGGCGCCCAAATATTGTGAAACTATTCGTTCAAATTTAAACGAAAGTTCTTATTAATTAGATGAAACATTTATTTAGGATTTTTAAGCCCTAGTTATTGTGTAAGTCAAGCTAACACATTTCAACATCGAAATTAACGAGTATAGTATTAGAAGAATTAACTGTAGTATAAATATTAACTGTTAGTAATATATCTCAATGTTGAGATTAAGATGGTGGTTGGAGGTAGTCAACAGGAAACCCTGGACCCGGGTTTCGTGCTACTTGGCACTCGTCAGCAAGGTGTATCTGTAATCTTAAGGGAACTGGTGTTCCCTGGCGGAGGTTAGTCACGGCTCGGATAGCTCAGTGGTAACGTCTCTGATTGTGAAGCTGGGTGACACGAGATCGAATTTGCCAGGGAGCACCAGTTCCCTCAAGATTACAGGTACACCTTGCTGACGAGTGCCAAGTAGCACGAAACCCGGGTCCAGGGTTTCCTGTTGACTACCTCCAACCACCATCTTAATCTCAATACATAGTGCCCGCAGTGTCGAGTCACCTAGACTGGTGGCGACATCGCAACATGATCGATAGCATTCGATCTGCACTAATAAGGACTAGACAAGCATGACATTGATCACCACCCAGTGATCAATCAATTGTGAATATATCTCAATGTATACTAAATATACCCATCAAGACATATAAGATAAAATATAAGATAAGAAATAGTTTCTCATCAAGGTTCTACATCAATAAATAATTTTTACAGTTAGGAATGAAATCAAAGAAGAAAAGAGAGCAATTAAAAATCTCTGTTTCGAAACATTTAGTTACCATATAGACACAAACTTAACTTTCAAAGTATTCACTGAAATCCCATTGAACGTGCATCATATTTTCATCATTCTTTCTTTAAACATAGATGAAAACATCAATAAACAGGACGATTTAGTACAGTAAAACATTATATTTTAGGACTTCTCATGAACTGCAAATGACCTAGAGTTGTAATCAGTATAAATAATCAATGAAGTTGAGTTCAATAAGACACAGATAATAATAAAAGTAGGAAGTTATGAAATATTTAACATGGTACTTAAAATAACTGGGTATAAATATTCTCGAAATGAAGTCATACAAAATCTTTATTAGGATTATTATCCCTTAGAAGTTGGTAGGAAAACGGTTACAAGTTGAAAAAAAATACAAGGGACTGAATTATGGAAGTAAATGCATAAATAGATCGACTATGTAGTTCGTTGCTTTAAATAAAGTCCATGAATGAAACATGGATAATATCAGGTTCAATAAATAGGTCTCAAATAATTCTGCAAATTAAGTGTAAAATTAAAGTATAGCATAATATGAAAGTGCGAATGCAAAGAAAATAAGAGACAGATTACACATTGAGTTTCTTTATAAAGCATATTGATTCTTCATAGAATGTTTATATATTATTTATGGTTAGTCTATCATGAGTACAATTGAGGGATCTAAGGGATTATGTTTAATTAATAAAGACGATTATTTTCTTTGGTATAATTTAATTTTACGTATTAATTTCTTTGTTATATCATACGAATCTCACTACAAATTATTCACAATTGATTTCTGTTGAAGTTTCATTGACTTGATTCATATTGTTTCAGCTTTCAAATCTGTTAACTTTTATGTTAATTTCAATTCTTTTAATTACTACTTTTAGATAAACTTCATGGATAGATATGGTGAATTAAAAAACTGGGTTTTTTTTATATATTTTGTAATTTCAATCGTAAAAATGTTATTTAAAGTCATCATATAGAACTTACATGTATACTCTGATTATGATGAAATTTTGTTCTCTGAGCTGGATAGTTTGGTAGTGAAACTTTCATCTTTCTTCTGAATGACAATGTCGGCACAAACTTCAGGTAGAAGTCTACCTCAGAGAACAAAACTCCATCAAAATCGTCCACCTGAGCTACAAATCTCCACTGTCACAATAGTCCTAGAATCAATCTACAAGAA